CGTGGGCCAATATTTTCGGGTATGGTTTGGGAGCTACCATAGGCAAAGGACTATTCTCTGTTGGCCATCTGTGTATGGCCGCACCATATGGAAAGCTGGAAAAAAGCTTATAAGACAGCTTATAAATGAGCCCACACAAATACTGGAAAATAGTATGAATGTTGGCTGTTCAATGCCTCAGTACTAGCAAATAGTCTCAGGCACATAAAATTTCCTACGATGGATGTAACCATACAGATGCAGCCAAAAACGAAAGGGACAGTGAAGCTAAGGTAGCTTAACATAGCCACACTACCTGACAAGGACAAAGCAACAAAGAGAAAAAGAAGATACAGTTTGGTGATAGTTGGATGGCTTTTTTGAAATAAAACATTTATCAGAACTGAGTTTCCAGCATCTTCAGAGATGTGGGGGAGAAGGTCCCAGAGGCTTGCTCGGCTGCCAGGGAATTAGTCCTCCACAGAGAGATCTGCACAGAGTGTTACCCTTTCCCAAAACTTCATAGCTGCTCAGCTGAAATAATTCAATACCTTCAAAGAAGAAAGGACAACGTATTCATACCATGCCATGATGCTGTTTTCAGGCCGTCCTAATTTAATTTACCTCAATGAGAAAAGATTGAGTCAGCAGATACTGTCACAATGGCCTAGTATAACCTAGTGTCAGAGTTTTTCACTGGGTTTTGACTAGGCACAGTTTCTTTTATGTAATAGTTTGGCCTTTGTCTCTTCCCTGTTCCCCCATACATACATATACCTCTACCAGTTCTAGGGAGGAAACACATGGTATTCGCACAGCCATGGCAACACCATTACTGCACTCCAGCTCAGCTTGATTTGCCATCGTAAAAGGGACAGGGACGGGACAAAGGGGATGAGGAAGGGAGAGTCACTGCCCAGTCAGCCAGACTGCTACGTCCCAGCACGGACCCAGCCAGTCACTTCACTTGCCTTACATCGCCCTACTGCCACTGGCTCTTCACCTGGCTGTCAGAATAAAGATAATTTAGAGGGAAGAAAAGACAATATTAAAATGTAATATTCTTTGGGCTTTTCATATCCTACCAAGATTATTCAGCTTCCCTTTGGTCCATGAAGTGAGCATGTCCAGCCTGTTAAGCATCTTTCTGAGCCAAAAAGTAGATGAAGAACTTGGAAACAGTCTTGGTATGTATCTGAAGGAAATCCAACTCTCAGAATGATTTGAAAATGATCCTAAATTTTGTAAGACAGTCAGCAGCACAGATCTGTACATACTCCGCATAGAAAGAGGCAATTCCTCCCAGAAAAAACTACAGTAATACTTATTTGAGGACTACAGACACAGGAAAGTATCTTAGGAACTCCAAAAAAATACACACCTATAACCATCACATGTTTGAATGGATAAAAAGAGCTTTGAACTAATATAAAAACTTTAGCAAGAGCATGTAAGAACGTCCATGCTGTGGCAAACTGACTTTCAGCAAAGCACTTTGTTCAGCAAAAGCTATCACATGCAGTAAGCATCTGAAAAAAGAAGACTAGGAATTTGATGTGCCAGGTCTGTGAAGGACGACCAGCAGATACTGATTTTGCACATCTGGGAACCTTGATATTAAAAAACAATAATGCTTGCCATGGAAAGTGTGTCATAAACTACAAAATGACACAAATCATGACGTAACTGATCCCAGAGTCACCTTATAGAAAGCTTAAAGCATCAAACATTTCAAACAAAACAAAACAAAAACACCAAACCAAAACCAAACCCACCATTTCAGCAAGGACCAGAATAGTCTTTACTGAATACAAAAGACAACACGAGGAAAGAAGGTGGAGTAACAGTGGTTTAGGTTATAGATGGTTTCACAATGCTCTTCACAGCTTTGCCCCAAGACTTCCACAATCACTTCTGGACCTCAAACAGGAGATCCTGAAGGAAATTATTTCAGACGTGTTTATTCCAGATGAACTTGAATGAAATCTCATGAAGCACAAACACATTTAAAAACTGATGGCATCAGCACTAGGGCCAAGGAAGCTTGCTTTCCTCAGCTTTTTGTGTCTTGTGATCGACTGAGGGCTGCGGTCGAATTTTTTTCCCACAGTTAAGGCACGTGTAAACATCTGCTGCCATGTGGATTCTCTTTTGCCTAGTAACATGTGAGCCCATGAATGCCTTTCTCATACAGGATTTCTCTCAGGCTTTTCTCTCCTCACCCAGTGGGGCATATTTTCAACAAACTCATTGGAGCGTTTCCCGCCCCCCCTTTAGAACTTAGCCATCTGTCAAATTCATTTAGATCATCTGTAGAATTATAAATCGCTGGTAAGGTGGGGGAGAAAGGAAAGAAACAAACTAACTCGCACGTGCCAAGTAATTGCCAAAGTCCCGTTCCTTTAGCGACCTGACTACAAACAAGGACGATAAAAATCTTTAATAACAGAAGCATCAGATAATCTAAATATGGATGCAGACAGTCTCATAAGGTAAACATGACATAGCATTGTTTAAAATTATTAGAACTATCTACCTTTTTTTGAAAGGTCATTAAAAATCAGTGACTTGGTATGATTTCCTTCTTAGGATGAACACTTGTCACATTTATGACACGAAAACTGGCATGTTTGAAGTGTACGTATGAATAGATTCAGGAGAAATCCCAAGTGCTGACTGATGAAGGATATAATGATTTGGACAAAACTTACAAAGCAACAATTTATTACTGTTGGTTAAACCCCCCTGAATTCACCAACAAAGAAAATTCCAGAAATCATCCAGTCCCCAAGAGCAACACAATAAAACTGCTGCAACATGAAGCTGTACTTTGGGACTCAGAAAATCCAAAGTCTCCGATTATCTAAAATTTGTCAGTCCACAGCTTTTTCCCAGCTATAAACTACGAGCAAATCATCAAATACAGAGTAGCTATGACAATTACTACACCAACATGTCATCTATTCTGAGTAGACAGAGCATCTGCATAACATCATTTATGAAAATCAACATGAGAGTGTTGAGAATTGTGAATGTTTTAATAAATGAATATAAATAGGTCACTTGTAACTTTATGATAATGGAATTAAAACACAACAATATCAATAAACATAGATTTTTATATATAAAAGTGTCATTTATTGTAAGGAAACTTTAAATATAACCAACAATATTGAAAATATCGTGACTGGCATTTATGGCCTTGATTGTAGTTTACTGCCATACAAGTAATTTCTAGCATTTTTCTTAATCACATGAAGCTAGTGCAAAATATAGGTAGCTTTTAGAGATTAAGCATACAGAATGACAGGAGTGTAGATTTTGGTTACCTGATATTTCCTTCTAGTGTAACAGGCTTCTCTTTTTTTCCGTAAATCAAAAGCACAAAGGCAAGTTATCATATGTGCAATTATTCATACCAGGTTTCTAGGTTAAAAAAAAGACATTTGTAGCTTTTGCTCAGATTGTATTTTGGTAGGAATCTGACTTATAATTTATACCATACTATATGATATAAATTATATAATGTTATCATATTATATAATCATAATTTCATATACAGGTATGATTATATAAATTGTCGTAACATATCACTAACTATAGGATAATAATTACATCAACATACACAAATATATGGCATTAGAAAAGTCATTATCTAGGAAGGAAAGATGTTATAATTCAGGTGTTTGAAACAGGGCACAAGCAACTTTCCTACAATTCTTGTAGCATCGTTTTGGCAGAACTACTGCCAATTGCCATTATGTGCACTAGCTTTCCATGTACATCAACAGATAGGTCAGAAGCAGTATAAAAATTAGGCTGTGCCTGAAATTTCCAGTCACGGACCCTAGTAAGCAATGAGTCCTGTGCTCCTAATTAAGGTGATATTCTCTGTCCTCAGTCTCAGAAGGTATTCCATGCTATTATGGCTAAAAAGATATTATTTTATGATGACCTACAGGTTTTTGAAAGCAGGACATGTTAGCTTTAACAATGACAGACTTTCCAGACTTGTGCAAAGCTTTTGAAGTACTGATCTGTCAAATTAAAAATAGTTTTGTACTTCCTTACAAGGATTTTTCAAGTACAAGCTTAGTCTAGCATGGCTTTCGATATCAATCCCTTCAGTAATTGAATCGGGTCTTTGATAGCTAAGATTAGACTGCAAGAAGAGATATACACAGAGATCATTTCCTTTGAAATAGGTAAAAGATTTAACAGATAAAAAAGGTGAGATCTAAAAAAAAATTAACTAGAGGACAAGCATAGTTAGAGAAGACAAAATGCATAAATATAAAACAAGGGAGAAGGAAAACAATATAGGTTATGTATGATTAGGTAGAACATGACAACGACCTATGCCTTTGCTTTTAAAGCATTAAGGTTAATTTGTCAGCTGTCCTCACTCTAGACTGTACAGAATACATGTAACTAATAAAAAATGCAGTTTATTGCAAAAATATACAAGTCCTCTAAATTGCATAAGATATTACAATGTCGTGCTGAAACATGACATATTAAACAAAGAGGACTTTAAAACAAATTACAAAATGTTAAAAATCAGATTTGGGTCATGAGCGTTACACAAAATGCATTGTCATGCTTTATCTTACGATTAGTCTTGTGATTCACTACATCTGTGATAAATGCAACATAAAATCATGACAACTGTAATAGTCAGAAAGTAATATCTACTGTATATCTTCTGTATTAATACATATAAACACTTTGTGTGCACTAATACTTTCAACATACCACATTCAAACTAACAGTCTTTCCAGAAAAGTTGTAGTCTTTTTGAAGAACAGAAGCTGGTTTAACAAGTTCATCGCATGTGGGTTTTTTGAAATCTACTCTTTAAGGAAAGGACTTGTGTTAAAGGACTTGATTTTCAAAGGTGCTGTGCTACTATGGGACTTCTTAATGCCAGATGAAACCATCAATGCTAAGCACTTTCAAAAATCAAGCCCGCAATTTATTAAATTCCTATTTTGTTTACGAGTACTTCCACTGTAGTAAGTCCAAAAAATACCCCCAAACCCACTCTTAAAATCACAGAAAATGCTTGGCATCTATAGGAAGAGAGACAATTTCTCTGTGGACTAACCACTACTGTGCTATATTCTCATAACAGATCTTGTTGCTCCAATGTTCAGTTCATGCACTGGGATCGGCAATGTCCATGTTTGTTCCAAACAGAGCAACTAGCTGCTCTTCATAGTTTGCTATGTTTCTTTTCAGAATTTCCATGCAAGGTCCCAAAAGCCTTTCAAATGCCTGCACATCCATAACTAAGATAAAAGGGGAGAGAAAGAGAAAGAATATAACATGCTTGTCAGTTGCAGACACTAATCTTGGTGTTTATGACATTCCAGTTTAAAATTTTAGATAACAGGACAGATACTACTAAGGCATATACTTCGTTTGCACAGAAGAGAACCACTTACCGTAACAAAATCAAGATCAACCAACACATTGCTGTCTTGAAACTTCATAAATAAACTTAGAATTTGCTGGGTTTCTTGTTTTGAAAATATTTTCATATTAAGATTTATGTGACCCAGGAGCTGCTGAAGAAGTCTGGAGAGGCCTGGATTCCTCCACAGTTTTAAGACCCTTGAGATTTCAAAAAAACACATCCTTTGCTGATGATGTTGGCTGTATTTGGGGTCTACCTTGGCATATTTCCTTGCTATTTTTACTTGTTTCCATCCACACTGGAAATTGTAATAGATACTTATTTCTCAGCAAACGTACGAAAAATTGGAGATGGTAATTCACATGCAATGTCAATGTGTAGCCGACCAGAATATTTTCTTCGTCTTTTCACATAATGTTATCCTCTGTAGTTCTAGCCAATAGGCCAGGGAGGAAACTTCGTACTTCAACCAGCTTCCAACCTGGTGGCCTGTAGTCTCTTGGCTCCCAAGAAAAGTTCAAGATCTCTGCTATTTGGGAAGTGCCAGAGATCTTAGTAACTCACCCATACTGGGTAATGACACTCTTCCTCACCACTGCCTCTTATTCCTTCCTCTATCATTTTTTATTTTTATGGCCTGATCATCTCTGTGTGTTTGGAGATAAGGATTTTAAAAAATAATACCTTTATGAGTAAGTGAGAAACTTTTTGCTTACTGGCTTGGTAATCAAACTGTCATTCAAGAATGCCAAATCCGTCTTTGCAGTTTACAGCTTTCCCATAATTTGATACAAATATTTAGGAGCTAAACACAGACCATGAAAAGCAATGGATGTGAGGGGTTGTCTATAAGCACAACTCTTATGGTCTTTGCTTTTCCTTTGCCTGAGGCTACAGTGCGATGGAATGATTAAATAAACAGCTGATGAAGACGAAGAATTAAGTCATGGTGATAAAACGGGACAGGATTTTTACCACAGTTATTTCCTGGATGAGAGTCAGTCTACTGAGAAAAGAAATACTTTACCTTTGTGCAGCGTATTAGACATTTATCTGATAGCTATAAATGGTTTGCAGCAATACTCTCTGTACTGTCCTGAAACAATTTTTACTTCCATGTGATCAGAGAATTTGTGTTTAATACCGGTTATCAACTGCAAATAATTTTTGCAGAAAAATAATGTAAATAGGAATGCACATAATAGATGATGTACTTGAACAGTCTCATTTGGGTAAATGTAATTAAATCTTATATTATGGAGAATGAGACAGAGTTCACAATAAAAACAACCAAATAGATTATGTATCATTTTATATTAGATATAAAATATTATTGAACAATACCTAAACATTTGACAGTGCCAAGAGCAAATGCAGAAGCGGCTCGTGGTTTGTTAGTTACAAGAGCAAGTTCTCCAAAATATTGTCCTCTTGAACATCGAGCTATTTCAACTGCTCCATTCTCTTCTACATCTTGTTTACCCTGAAATATCAGGTAAAAAAAGAAAGGAAGAGAGAGAATGAGAGAGAGATTTGCTGAACTCAGGATTGCATAAGCAAAATTAGTAACAATGGTAGCATTACTGTTTAACACTTAGAATACATCAAGATTAAAAAAAAAAAAAAAAAATCTGTGTTTTAGGGATGTTTACCTTCCTTGTCATTATAATCCTTACTTCTCCAGATTCCACAATGAAGAAAGAATCAGCCAAGTCACCCTGCAGAAGAAAAAAAATAAAGTGAGTAAAGGAAATGTGAAATTTCTTTTTTAGTTTCACGGTAACATTAAAATATTTGCAGCCAGTGCCTTGAAACTCATCTTTTTGATACCTGTTGCAAAAGAAATCACTTTTACTGTGAAAACCATACTCTAGGCACATAATAATCAAAACATCTACACAGAACTGACAGCAAGGCCTTTTTATAAGACATAGCTGACTGTGCCTTATACAAAAAGCAGAGAAAAACAATGTTGTGGAAGATTTTAGGATCCTTACTCCTGTTTCTCCACCTTTGTATTCCTTCCAAATTATTTCCCTTTCAGAGTTTCCAGTATAAAAAGCCTCCAAAGGCCTATCTGATATCCAATAATTATTTTGGGGCAAGACAATCTCAGTTGCCTACCCTGAAGAGTTTACTTCTGCATTCTTCTTCAAAAAGTTATCATATTTTAACAACAAAAACAAGGTAAGTCTTCAGTATTCCTTATTGGAAGCAATCATTCTTTTATGTAGTTTGAATTTCTAAGTATACTAAAAATGTTGACTCCTTTATTCATACCAACAGAGGGACGTTTTTCAAAGTACTATAAGTGAAAAACGAGCTTCTGAAACAAAATAATCACCTCTCTTAGATGCAAGATTCATTGTTTTTGTTTCATCTGAGAAAGAAAAATATAGTTTAAAAGTATGTATTATCTATAGATAATATGATAATTGTTACCTATTGGAAAAGAAAAACTAAAACTAGAAATAAACTGTACCTGAGCAATGATTTGTTCTCCATCTTTGTATACTTTGGTGCCAATCACATCAACCACTTTTAAACGCTCAGACATCTTCATTTAAAAAAAGAAAAATGTAAGAAATATTTGTTTAACATTACAATATTACATTTAGAAAGCCCTTTCATATTTCTTTTCATGAAGCTTTGCACAGAGTAGTGTATCTTTCTTTTCCTGGTTTGATAATCATTAAAAAAAGGAAGAACTGCTGAATAGTGTTCCAGAGGGTATATTACTCTTAACAGCTACATGTTTTGATAGAGCTTCCACTTTTGTAAGAAGTCTATATATCCCAAGTCTTCAAAAATTATTTTCAGAAAAGCATGCATGTAAAAATATAGCTGTTAAATGAGTATTTTGAAATTCCCTAAGTCATTTAATTTTATTAGCTAATATACAGTAAAATTAAGCTTAAGAAAATGAAGGTAAAGGTAAAAAAAAAAAGTTTTTTAAAAAAATACAATATTAACAATAGTTCATTATTCTGAAAATTTAGAAATGTCAAAAATATGGTTTTCTCCAAAAGTATGCAAAACTTTATTGTGGAGAAAATTTGAATTCCAAATTTAAACTCTGCAAAAGCAGAATCTTATCAGGTACCTCTGCTACAGCCATTAAAATAATGCAATAGAAATCTTACTTCTAAAGATTTAAGGAATGGCAATGACTCAATAAAATTTTCATACATTCTTCTCTTTTTGGCATTATTTTTTACAATGATTCTTCGGAACGTTACCCTGTCCTGTAAACACAAAGAGAAAAAGAAAGTATATTAACAGAAAATATGTGTGCGGTAGCAAATACTTTAGATATGGCTGAATATGTTCAAATTACCCAATTTTAGTCACTCAACGTAGCCGTCAAACTAGCTGGCTAGTCTCCCCATACACTCAGTTGAGAAAGATTCCTCTAGAGGTCAATCAAGAGCTCCTAAAGTTAAGCTCCTGATCTGATTCACGTTGTGAAAAGCTTCTCCGCCCTTCGGCAGAGAATACATATAGAGTTTACATATAGAGGGTAGAGAGCTTATCTTAAACGGGTTGGCTACACAATGAACGCTGAGTGGGTCATTTAAGATATTTAAGAAATCCTCAATATTTAAATATTTAGTTTACAAAGTTTATTCATCATCCTGAGGTCCCATACATATTGGTATGTACTCAAAGAGGTTTTTATATTATCATACAAACAAAACCAAAATATATGGGTCTGGATCTTAGGTCACAGTCCACTTTCTGCCATTTCAGCAGAACAAGATTCATTGCTGCCCTAAACAGCCAACTGGACATTCCTTAGTATTTGGCAATCCAAGTGAAGCAGACAGATGGAAAAACTACACATATGCTGTTTTCTTTTCTTAACTTCATATGACTGTGTCCTGGTGACAGACAGAGGTGAAATGCTTTGCAAGCCTTCACTGCTACAGGTGGGACTTGCTGGCCAATTCAACCCAATCCAATTTAAAGCCATTCTTACGGTGTCCTAAACTCTGCCATGATCCCAAAAGTCATACGGATTAAGTGGTGAAAACCATGCATTTCGCTTTAACAGGAAAATATTATCTTGGGATCAGTCATTAGATTGATAGGTAAATCTTGAAGAAGATGGGTATCCCAGTTTTACTCTTTTGGTAAATTCTATTACTGTTGTCAAAGATCCAGATATTTATCCATTGATAAATAACCTCATATTTGAATTTTACTCTGGAACCAAAGGCATTTCCTAGCAAGATGTGGGAAAACATTTTATATATGTGTCTAAGTAATTGTCTAGTGGTTTGCAATTTGGGAAATTATCATTAAAATAGAATAAAACAAAATGATTTTTTAAAAACTCAGTGTTCTTAAGCCTCAGGTTTGCTTCTGCAGATTCTGGAAAAAGACAGTATTGTGTTGGGAGTTCTCAGAATTTTTAAAATTAAACTTCCCAAAATATAATTCATTTTTTAATGCTGATATAACATACCAGTGCAATTTATATTAAATAATTAAAACAAATAATATCTTAAAACAAGTATTTCACTTACCAAACCCCAGATGGCACCAGGAGAGGTGGCTATAATTGTAGCTGCTCTGGGTGTATTGTACATTAAGGCCAACTCACCAAAACTTCCCCGGTTATCATAGGTTCCAACACACCTCCCAACACCATCACATTTTACATAAATGTCATATGTACCTCTGTTAATAAAATATAAATACAGTGAGTAGAATCCAGTCCTGGTCTTTGCTAAGCAGCCTCTCACTATATTTTTTTATACCATGAATTCCAAAGATAAAGCATTTGAAACACACATTTGCTTCTTTAAATGACATTAAACATCTTGCAGAGACATCTCAATCACTTCCATAAATAATAAAAGTAGTTCCTTTTTAAAGGGAGGGATAGGGTTATTAGTTTTTACATTAACTAAGTTTAAAGGTAGACTGGATGTACAGTGATCTATTGATCATCAGAACTTATTAAAAATTAAGATCTAACTTAGTATCTGTTTCTTAATTTCATTTTAAACACACAAAATACAAATGTAACAAGTCTTCGCAGAAATTGCTATGATCACTGAAATAATAATAGAAGTTATTTAACATTTAAAATATTTTGAAGTAGTAATTTATAATGTAATAAATAGAGGAGATGCAGGAAACGGAATGTATATGAAAAGCAACATAGGATTATGAAATAAAGATATGTATTTATCTAATATATTGTGGATTTCTTCTCCCCATCATTAAATTAGTAACTTTTTTTGATTTGGGAATGCAGCAAAATCTGGTATCTTGTAAAACATGACATAGCCATCCCCATTGATGCTGAGCCATCATTTTATTCAGCACTAAATATTTGTATGGTAAGTGTTGATAAATCATGTGAATGTAATGCAAAAATCAGTACAATGATTTCATTGATAAGGGACTTAGAGGTGATTCACTGTGCCTAAAAACTGCAAGGCCGACACAATACTGGGAAGTCCCTGCAGCTTTTTGGATAAGAGATGACAAACTGTAACCTCTCAAAGCTGAAAAACATTGATTCTTCAGCAAAGAATCCTGACACACTTCTACAATCTTCTGATTGAATATTTCAGTTGGAAGGGACCTGCAATGATCATCTAGTCCAACTGCCTGACCAAAAGTTAAACGCTGACCAAAAGCTAAAGCATGTTACTAAGGACATTGTCCAAATGCCTCTTAAACACTGACAGGCTTGGGGCATTGACCACCTCTCTAGGCAGCCTGTTCCAGTGTTTGACCACCCTCTCGGTAAAGAAATGCTTCCTGATGTCCAGCCTAAACCTCCCCTGGCGCAGCTTTGAACCATTCCCACGCGTCCTGTGACTGGATCCCAGGGAGAAGAGCTCAGCCCCTTCCTCTCCACTTCCCCTCCTCAGGAAGCTGTAGAGAGCAACGAGGTCGCCCCTCAGCCTCCTTTTCTCCAGACTAAACAAGCCCAAAGTCCTTAGCTGCTCCTCATAGGACATGCCTTCCAGCCCTTTCACAAGCTTTGTTGCCCTCCTCTGGAGACATTCAAGTAACTACACATACTTCTTAAATTGTGGGGCCCAGAACCTCACACAGTATTCAAGGTGAGGCCGCACCAATGCTGAATACAGTGGGATAATCACCTCTTTTGACTGGCTGGTTATACTTATCTACACTGACTGAAAACCTTTGCATTTCTTTCAGAGTTCTCGCATAATATTCCTTTCGAACACTCTCAGAAATCACTGTGTTAGCCTAAAACTAAAGGTACAAGTAAGAAAAGGTGTTTTGGGACAGCCTGGCTGGAGCCTGTGCCAACAGACTAGTGAAGGATGCCAAAGTAAATGTTCTTCCTAACTCACTGGATTCAACAGTAATCAATATCTAGGATTTTACTTAGTTACCTGCTTTTTCCGGTACAGATCTCCAAATGAAGAGTAATGAATTAGCTACTTGAGGTCTAATAACATTCATGTGAATGAGAAGGTCTACAGATAGCATGGAAATTCAGTAAGATTTCAAATATTAAGCTGTAAAACTTTTCCCATTGTGTTTTGTGTTAGATCTCTTTCCATGTTAAAAATAAACAACAAAAAAACCAATCAAACTGAAAAAGCCACCAGCCTTTGGCATCCAGGAATACATGAAGAGGACAGGGACATATTTCCATATAAAAATCTGCCTCCTTTCAAAAACCGCTCTCCGTAGTGCAGACCGAGCTGTACTGGTTCACGTGTGTTCTTTTTTCTTTCTCCCATGCAAACATATGTAAGAGTTAAATACAAGTACATAGAGAAATAGATTTTTCTCTGTGGGCTTTTGCATAATACTTTGTGCTATAAGATGACACAGCGATTCACCTATCAATGACGTAGAAGTTGTCACCATCATCCCCTTGATCAATGACATGTTCCCCTCCTTCAACCAGCTTTTCAAACATCGCATCTAACACCTGAGACATCTGTTCCTATTTAAAAGAACACAGACAAAGACAAGAAATTATCATCTGCTTTTAAAATTTTAGTCTTCAAATTAACTAACTGTCCAGCCTGCCAATATGCAGATAAAAAATGTTCTTGGATGGAAAATATTAATGCTACAGAAATGTGTGGATCAATTGGAAAGACAGTTTTATTTAGCATTCAGTGTTAACTTTTTCCTTTTCCAGCATTCAGAGCCCAGCTTCCCTTCTTGTCCCTGCCAATAACAACACAGATCTTGTCTGCAATATAAATTCCTCAGAGCATCCAAAGATAGAATTTCACCGTTCACAATTGCTTAACATTACACAGTTAAAAGAAAGAACTATATCCCTTATTGCAAACAATACATTTACCTATTTTTGTCTTTAGAACTATTTTACAGAATTTAAAGTTTCAAAATGATTGTAAAGTATTTTGAAAATCTAAATTATACAATGCCTGCACAATGGTGGGATAGATGTAACCATAAAGGTCTGCAGTGCTTTAGTTGAGTAAGTACATGCTGGTCTCATTGGGAAGCAGGAATTTACACACGACTATAAAACTACTTTGTTAATTTGAATGGAATACGAATGTTTAGAGAGAAATGTTAACAAACTAACAAAATGCCATTGTCTGAATTATGACTGTCTAATAACAAAAACAAATCACTAATTACATAGTTTGTCTTGTTTGGTGTAAATCTGCTAAAACTTAACTATTCACATCTAAAAAAACCACGGCTCATTGTGCATTAACGATATGAATCCTAAAAAGATAACTTAATAATTTAAATTTTATTTTCAGTTTACCCAGCAATGTGCCTAAAATTCTGACAATAAACACAAAATAGCCTCTACTTTTTGAAACTTATTAAGTATGTATCATACTGGTACAAGCAGGTTCTACTGAAAACCACAGTAAAGAAAAGCCTGTAGATTTAGATCCCCATGCATTTTACAATGGTTCAATTCATAGCATTTCCAGCCACTGAAAGATGGCATTTGCCTCTCCAAACAAGACCAGCCTAAGCCAGTCCTCTAGAGTTCTTCTGCAGCCCATGGACAGAGATAACCATACGAGATAGCTCAGAATCATTCTCTAGAGATCCCCCTTTCTTTCCTCTGATGATAGAGAGATTTACTGTAACTTACGGTTAGACAACTTTTAGACAGATAAAATGAGGTGGAATTAATTCCGTCCTTACTCTGTTGAATTTCTTCACTTACTCAAAGCTTTTAAAAACATCAGCAGTACCATGTTATCCTTTTTAAAAGGATAAAAGTTTCCTTTTTAAAAAATGGAAGCTAAATACAATTTTACTTCACAGAGTTCATTGTGTGTGGGCACAAAGAACAACAGAATGGCAGCATCCATCCTCAGTACAGCTGATCATAGTAAAATACAGTAAGACATCATGCAGCCTACCTAGGCCAGCAAGGAATCATTTAACTATGTCTCTATTTAGTACCTTTTTTAGTATAGACAGGCGTGTGTTTGCAAAAAGAAGGATCATTTTACTATCAGAGAATGGGTTATAGTTCATTTCAGAGAAAGAGAAAAGTGTGTGTGGGTGCCATTGGGAAAGACTGAAAATTAGGTACAGGAGTTGCCTTTTAAAAACTTTAATGCTTAAGTTAGTAGGTAATGTTACTTCAGTCTTTTCATTCTCCCTATGTAAACTAATAGGAACTCCTACAGAATCTGCAAAACTGACCTCATGTCAGTTAGTTGTCTAAAGCATTTGAAGCAGAACATTCCCTTTCCCTTGCTTTACATCTGAATTGGCAAAGTGGCTCCCTGACCAACAGCCCTTGGCTGCCATTTGAAAACAAGTATGAACATGCAGAATGCTCCACACTTTAAGGGAGGGTAGAGGGTATATGTTATCCTCTAAATGCAAGCAATGCAAGAAAAATGTATTATATTGGCCCTGATCCTTGGAAATTAAAATACTCCCAAGACATCTTGGAAAGAAGATTAAACTAAAAAGATGGTTATTTGTGGTACTGAAGGAATAATACATATAGTTATAATCTTTATTCAGTGTGCTTCATCTCAGATTTCACGTTAAAACATTTTCAATCTCATAGTTATGAATCAAGCTCACCAAACCACAACTTTTCTGGCAGGTAAATCTATGACTTTTTTAGACAACAAAGTAGAATTCACAAATACAATTCCCTTTTAAAAAATGTTTTAAACACTCGAAGGTATTTAATACATTTGAGAGCTGTCTTCTGCTGAAGTATTGCACATGTATTTTAACTTTCTAAATAAATTGCAACTAACTTAAAGACAACTGGTCCCTTTCCCAAAGCTTTCTACATAAAATTAAGACAGAGCAGACTGCAATAACCAAACCAGGCACGTGTTTTTTGCTTTTACCGTGAGAATTACAAAACTTGCTTGCCCAGCTTGCTCTATGTGAATCCTCTGGATTCTCTGCCAGACTGAGGCTCAATTTACTGGCAGCCTCCACAGTTACTTTGAAAGGATAAAGATGGGTAATTTTAGAATTAAAAAGTAGATCTGTTATCATACATAGAATTAATTCTGGTATTTTAAAACGGTGCAGTCTGAAAGCTCTTCTTCCTTAAAGCAGTTCTAGCTTCAAAAAATACATACAAAATGAAAACAGGAAGGGGTTTTTTATATCGGTGTTTGTAAATCTGCTATGTGTAATGCTGTGGCAATCTGGTAATCAATATTCTAAAGAATGATACTTTAAAAACATGATAAACTTTTTAACAAATAAAATTTATAAAGAATCTGAAGTATTAAACATGTATGTTGTGCAATCTTTGTGACTTCTGCTAAAATTTCAATATCTTAATACAGTTCTTTCAAATATAATAAAGCATCTATTTTTCTTAAGGATAATGCACTCCACAAATATAAAGAACCAAAACTAAAGTTTAAATTATTTGAAATTTGTTTCATTGTTTATGTAATGTTTATTTACATACTCTGATTAATACATGCAGTGGATTTTTTTTTTTCATTCTGAACTGTGAAGCATGTAAGTGCTTCAAAAGAGGAAAATTTTTGAAAAAATTATGGGAACCTTGGATTGTTGCCATGAAAGCACACTTTGATCACCATCCTTTGTGATAGAGAAAATATTTTAACTTCCTTAAAAGTGAGGAGGCTGAATGGGAAATCAGATTTTCTGAAAGACACATTGACAATACAAACCAAATTAATCTGTCAAAATTTTCTTTTTATAAAGATATTTTCTTTTTTTGAAGTGTAGTTACTGCATTTCTCTCAAAAAGTCTTTCTAACAATTGGACTTTAATAACAGAGCGTGATTTCACAAAATAATTTACTAGACAAGTGAATAAACATGCCATAGTTACAGCCGTCATTACTGTCTCAATCACCCTTGCTTTCAAGTGTGGATTTAACTGCTGGGAAGCAGGA